AACAAGAAGAATTGCTTGGTTTCTTGTTCTTTTTTTGAAATATGTTTGCAAAGGTTGCTTGGCAGGGGGTGTTAGCCATGAGCTAGGAGAAGTCTGGCTGCATGAGCTATGTTAAGTTGTAAGTGAGTTTAAAGAGTCTTCCTCTATAGCAGAAGCTGCTCACCTGATATGGTGTGCTCTTTTGAGCAATATTTGGAGAGAAAAATATTAGCAATTTTTTGCAAGGGAGCCTAGAGATATTGCTTTTCTTGGGAAACTTATTAGGAGTGAAATTAGTGTACTACTAAGTTAGTAGGTTGTGCAATTATATTGGTGGTTTTGAGTTCCTTAATATGTTCTTAGGCATCGTTTGCTTGTGGGATATGGGTGATGGATTTGACATTCAAATCCCAAGTATCATGTATTTGACACAAAACATTGTTATATAAGGTATACAAATCCATGAACCCCACATATTTGCAAATATCACATTTCATTTGGTATTTGGTTGGAAGGAAAAAGTTTGGGACCCATGGTACAAACACTCCAAATCCATGATAAAAAAACCTTTAAACAAAAAATGATATATCTTTCAAATACATAATACAACAAATCTATTATAAATTCAAAATTTTCAAAGCTAACTTTTATTTTCAAATCCCATAAGCAAACGAGCCCTTATTTTGGGACTTTGCTTTTTATTCTCCTTGTTGAGTTGTAGATAGTTACAAAAATAGTAATCTTTTATAATTGGTAAGACGAACACTTTTTTTATTTATGAACTGCTATTTGCCGCACGTATATTTACTATTTGTCGCCCATTGTTTTAGAAAAGGTATATTTTGCCCTTATACACTTGTAGTATCGAAACTAAAACCAGTCAAATCATTTTGCTGCCGCCGTCGAGAACTGGAAGCGCCGACCGGAACCTGCTGCAACCACCCTGGAGAAAGAAACTCGTCGATAATGTCTCGCTACCGCCGCAAAAAACTAAAACCGACGACCCCCAACTCTTCCCGTCACCTTGTCGTTGTGTGGGTCATCATTTTCTTTTTCCTTCCACAAAAACCTGGTTGGATTTTATTCGCTGCGACAAATTTAGCAAATTTCGGTGATACGCCTTCCTCATTTTGCTTGCAAAAATCCCGGCGATGATCCCCCTTCCACTTTTAATGGACATCAATGGGGAAATCGACCTCGAGTCTCGCTCTTGATCTGTAACCGTTGTTGTTAAGAAAGTCCGACATCAATGACGAGGGGGCAGGAGCAGTCCGACGTCAGAGTTTGGGGGGAGTTGTGCGGTCCGCCCGCCGTTGTCGAACGGGGTCCGTCCGCCCGCTTCCTGCCCGCCGTCATCGGACGATCGCCTGTGACTTTTTCCGTTGAATTCCGGTGACTTTTTAAAGTAGAGTGTTTTTGTTAGAATTGTTATTAAGTAGTTATATTGTATTAAATATTTATAAATTTTATAATTAGGCAAATTAAAAGGATATTTTTTAGGTAAGATTGAATTTTTCGTAGATATAGTTTTGGTTGAATATTATTTTTGGTTGAACGGTAGAATATTAAATAGAGGAGTTTTTTATAGTAAAATTTATAAGTTTACATTAATAAAATATTTTATTGTGATTAAGAATTTTTCAGAAGCAAGCTTCCGAATTAACAACCTCTCATTTGTATTTCTCGCCACCAATCTTCCGTTTCTCACAACCAATCGAATTTGTATTTCCCTACTTAACAACCGAACGTCCTATCCTCCCCAGTGAGTAAGTAACTCACGTTTAATGATTTTTTTTATTACACAGGAACCTCAACCCCACATGCCACTTCATGGCAGCGGTGTCTACTAAACCTGGGGAGTACCTGCATCAGCAATATTTTCAAGGCCTAGCACCCTATACCGGGGGGAGAATTTGTCTCCAGCACTCGCGGTGCCTCCGAGAACACCAAATGGTGTAGTGGGGTTCGAACCTTAGACCTCACACATCTCAAACCCGAAAGACCACACTCCCGACCAACTCCTATGTTACCTTTGGCCACATTTAATGATTATTTTCCTAATTATACCTTAAAAATTCCTCCCATGTCTAACAATAGTTTCCTAATTACACTCAATTTAACATCCCACCCACATTTAATTAATGGATCCAAAAAGAAGGGTTTGACCACAGTTGAAATAATCTCACCGAAGATGACGGATAACAACAATAAGAATCAACTCGAGTCAACAAGACCAATAATGACAATAAAGAAGGAAAGCATCTCATCCACCTCCTATACCTATACTCCTCCAAAACCCTAAACCCTCATTCCCCTTGAATAGCTACCTACACCTCGATCCATCCAATCCTAATGTGACATTACTTTAGAGGCAAAATCATCTCTGCCTCCACTAACAACAATCTTTTGTAATACATCACAAAATATTTTTTTATTTTAAATTCTCATTCATATTCTATTTGTTAAGTTCTTTTCATTCATCTGACATCAATTTGTAATACATCACAAAATATTTTAATTGTTCATCATCCAAACCGCAAACAATTTTTAAAACCCATTTCTCTAAGAACTTCATCCAAAAATTACTTTTAGAACGGATAAAATGAAACTAAATTATAATTTACAAGGTTAGTCACTAGGATTACTAAAAATGTTCATGTTTGGTCACCAAAAATATTTAATCCCATTCATGTTCATCAAAATTAGTTAAACATTTCAAGTTTGGTCACTCTCCGTCCAAGTCCGTTAACTTTTGCTTACGTGGAAGTCAACTCTTATAGTTGATCGTTAAATTTGTGACATGGCAATAAAAAATAATAAAATAAATAAATTTTAAAATTTTAAGATTCCAGATCATTATGCAACTATAACAAAATAAAATAAAAATTCTTTTAGTACTCGGACGCCGCGTCCCATAATCGTTGTGGACTTCAGTTCGTCCAAATTGTTAGGGATTTGGCCGGAGAATTTGTTCGAAGATAGGTTAGGCTATCAAATTCCGCCCAAACGCCGGCTGGAATCTCTCCGGCGAATTCGCTGTCGGCAAGCCGAGCCCACTACCTTAGGGCTCTTATTTATTATACGGTGATCGGTATTTCGATTTGAAATATCGCATGCTAATTACGAAAGCGATGAGATTTTGTTTCTTCCAATCTTTCCCAGTGACCAAACAGCAGAGCACAGGGATTCAGATCTCTTCAATGGCATAACCTTCCAGCGTGCTTCTGCGTGTCCAAAATCGAACCTTTAAGGGTTCCAAGATATAAAGATAATTGTTGCTGCCGCGCCGGAGGAAGAGGCGGCCGAGAGGGGAAGATAGCGGACTTCAGAATGGTGACAGAGAGGCTCATCGGAGGGAGAAGAAAGGGAAGGGAGACGAAAGAACCCAAACCTAGAATACCATCATCATATCCTTCCTGCTTATTCCTTATCCACCTTAACATGGAAATGATTCCAATAATTCATTAATCGTTGGAACCCAAACCCTCGCAGAGCTCTTATTTGCCAGGTGCCTCCTTCGATCCCCTTGCAATCGGAGGAATTGAGTAGAGAGAATCGAGCACTTCCAATTCTGCTGGAAGGGTTGAATTCTCCGGAGCATGCAGATCGATCGTAGGTAAAGGCAGGTTCCTTCTTCATTGCAGAAACAGGGGGACTCACATTCCTCTGCTCATCGGCCGCAATCTGATCGCCTGGCTAAGGGACGCGACGGGGAGAAGTAAAAGAACTTTTATTTTATTTTTTCATATTTGCATAATGATCTTAAAATTTTAAAATTTATTTATTTTATTATTTTTTAATTGTCACGTTACACATTTAACGGTCAACTATAAGAGTTGACTGCCACTTAAGCAAAAGTTAACGAACTTGGACGGAGAGTGACCAAACTTGAAATGTTTAACTAATTTTGATGACCATGAATGGAATTAAATATTTTTAATGACCAAACATGAACGTTTTTAGCAATATTAGTGACCAACCTTGTAATTTACCCTAAATATAACACGAGAGAAAACTAACAAAATTTGAAAAGTTAACTTCAACTCAACTAGCCCATTTGTATTTGGATAATGCCGAAACCCTTTCCACCTGGGTGTTACTTGTGTGTGATTGTGATTATAGTAGCATTATCCTAACTAACCTTCTGACTCTGAACTCAATACCCAAACTTTTAACCAAAGCCTATTCTATTTCTATAGCTACCTTCAACTCCAATCTCCACATCCTCCCTCCCTCCCTCCTGGCCCCCATTATCTAATAAATACAAAAAAAAAATTAAAATTAAAATATATAACTAGCAACCAGCAAGCATGGGCATGGAAAAGAAATCCATTCAGAGCTTAGGGGTCGTTTGGAAGTTGCGATTGTTAAATAGATGTATTGTTGAGAATGCATGTATAATATTATACATGTATTGTCGAATTTGATGCATTGTAGAATACAACGTTTTGTATGTGTGATTGAGACAAAACAATCTCAACTCAACAATCACAACTAAAAGTTGAGATATAACAATCACTCAAAATAAGTGATAGTTTCTGTCACATCACAGAAACAATCCATGTATTGTTTCTGCTAAAAAAACAAAAAAAACAATGCATTGTAAACAATACATGCATAATGACAATCTCAACAAAACAATCGCAACTTCCAAACGAACCTTAGTGACCAGGCCTGCCTGTCAATACTCGAAATTCCAAGGGCTTTATGGTAAACACTCACAAATAACCTCCTAGTCCTAGATCTCATACGTAGGTAGGTGTTTGTTTATTGCTGAGCTGAGCTGGATCAAATCAAAACCTCCCCTTCTTCACCCTTTGCTTTGCCCCTTCCCTCATCGAACAGCCATGTGAATTGACTCCTAAATCCCTCACAAACCCCGCACTCCTCCTCCTCCTCCTCCTCTCTGATTACCTAGCTAGTGATCAGATTTTAATTAATTAATTAATTAATAGTTTTAACAAACAAATATTCAAACAATCCCTGCATTTTAAAAATATACCAGGAAAAATTCTGAGCGCAGCTTAGCTTAGCTTAGCTTAATTAATACACAAACAGACACACTTTCTCTCTCTCTTCTTCTTTCTTTCCCGTCTTCTTCTTCTTCTTCTCCATCGGCTCTCTCTCATCTCAATCCCTGGGTCGTTCTTCGTCTTCTTTCCGCCCGCCATGGATCATATGCCTTCTCCTTCCTCTTCAGTACCGCTTCTTCTTCTTCGACATCTTTGAGCTCCCGAGTAGTCCAGGTATGTTAATGTTTCTTTGCTCTCTTCCTTTTCCCACTCCATCTGATTAGCGTCTTGTCAAGCTTCAAATTTGCTTGCTTTTTTAGTGCTCAATCATGTGATTAATTGGATTACGTCTTTGCTTCGAAATGATGATGAAGCTGTTGCTCGATGATGTGTTAAATGATCAGATGTTTATCCTCAAAATATTAATTAATTAATGATTAATTAGTAATTTGCCAAGTGTTCTCTTTGCCTAAATGCTATAGCCAGCGGTCCCGTGCTTTTCTTTCAGATAGCAGGAATAAGTACAAAAGGTCAAAAACGGCAATTGCCTAACAATTCCCCGGACGGAAAATCATTCCTCCAGGAATTCAATTCCCCCTTTTTATTTCCCCTCCCCAAACCGAAATGCGCACGCACGCACCGCTCACGCTCCGGAGTGGAGCGTGCAGTCCACTCCACTCAATTATTTTTCCTTATTCTTTTGGTGGAATTATATTGCAAAAAATATATTAAAAAAAATTTAGACAAAGCCAAATTAAAATGTATGTTTGTTAGGGGTAGTGAGGGATACCTGGTGCGCACATTAGCGATAGTGGAAGTGTATGTGTAAAATAATTTGACTCCCTGTAGCTGCTGATAACGATATGAATGAAATGAAGGTGCTATTAATTAATTATTTTATTGTTATTATTATTATTATTGAATAGAAGCTGGAGGGAGGGGGAAAAAAGAAAAGGGCCCAGAAAAAAAAAAAAAAAAACATCCCCACCTAAATCACTACGTCATCAACAATTAACAAACCATCCACTCAACTTCCCACAATACGTTTTCTGTGGTTCGCGTGTTAAAGATATAAGGTTGATGCGATGTATTCTCGAGTTCAATTTTGATTCAGATTTTTTTAATTAATCAACTAATAAGACTACATGCCATAATTATTCATTCTTGTCAATTTCTCATACGAACCGTTAAAACTTTTTTTTATTTTCCTTCTTAAAAACTCCATTTTTAGCTCACTGTAAGAGGACAAGAATTGTTTATTCACTATAACGCGAAATAATTGAGAAAGACAAAACAGAAATAAAAAAAAAAAAAAAAAGTGGGATGGTTTTGTTGTGTGTGACAGTGAGTGTGTGGGTTATAAGCTACAATGAATTCCCATATAGTGTGGATTCCGATTCTATCTTGTGGGCAATGATGGTGGTGCCACTGTTCAATTGCAACACAAGTTCCACTAACCATCGCCTCTTCTTCCTCTTCCTTCTTCTTCCTCTTCTTCTTCCAGGTTTCTTCCAATCCCTGATTCTGCCTGCTCTCTGTTCTCCGTGGCGGGAAACTCACGCCCATTGCTGACATCAGTTTGAAATCCACAACCAGGTACGTTTTTATGGCCGCGGCTCCTCAATTTCTACCCCTTTTTTGGGTTTTCCCCCTTCCTATCAGTGTCCAAGTTGTTTTTTTTTTCCTCTGCACCGTTTGGTTGGTTGCTGGGAAAGCTGAAGAGAGTTGACCCACTCTGGACTCTGTTTCCTTTCCTGCTTCTTTCAGGCTTGTTGTTTGTTAAATCTTTCTCCCCCTTCCCCTTTCTCTTTTTTCCTCTCCAAACTCTGTTTTCATGGAGGGAGAAGCAGTTGCTTATTAGGGTGTTAGGCCGATTTGAATCGGATCGGGTTGTGTGCTAAAATCAATACAGGTTTCTTCTTTCTCGTTCTCCTTTCTCCGAAATTGTCATGTTGAAGAACCCAAGTTTGGACCTTTTGTCTGTATTGAAATCGGAATAGTCCTGTTGAAGAAAGCTAACGAGTTGGGGGAGGCCAAAGTTGGCATCTTTTGTCTGTCTAAAAATCGAAATGATCATGTCAAATCATGGGTTTGGAGTTGGAGGAGATCCACAATACTTTATGCCATAAATTCGTGGTTAGTACTTAGTAACAGTGTGGTGAAATTTCCAACCCGAGATATTTTGGTTAAAGGATTTTGATAGCTCGCACTAACTACTCAAATTGTTAGGAAATACCCAAAGCTTGGGTTTATATCATTTCCTCAACGGTTTGGAAAGAACAGTTCCTTTAGCTTTCCTTGTTTGCCACAATTTTAAATTGGACATGGAACTGAATGAGCATAATCCTTTTTCATTCCTCTCTAATTCTTACTTCGCCGACTTTCCTTTGCCTTCTTTTCTTGAAATAGAATTCTGCAAAATGTTTCTCCATCACTCTATGTAGTCAGAAGAACCCTGGTTCTTACTCTGAGGCTATGACTTGATGTCACTCATTGATGATGGTAACCGCCAAAAAAATGCAAGTTGTTTGACGATTTTTGGCCTTATATTCTTTCTTCATCGCTTTTGTCTTCTCAATGCTGTTTGCCTTCAAACTTGATCGAGTGTACTGCTACTCTTCCTCCTTTTTTTGGATCCAAATTTTTAGCTTTTTTTAGATGTCAAACGATACCACTAAAGTCCCACCACGATGAACATGGTCTAGGAAGAAAAGTAGATAGTGATAAAACCCAACAGCCAAGGATTTGGTGGTTCAGGTTCAATCCTGCATAAAGATCAAGAGCAAACATTAGGCCATGGTCTGTGATTGAACCCTTTTTTAATCATTAGCAATGTCTCTTTTTCTTTGATATTTGTCAGCCACTTCTACAGTGGAGCTTGTTGATATTAAGCTATCATTGACACTCTTTCATGAAAAAACTTAAGTTAATTTCCATACAACTTCAACACTTATGGGTGTGTTTACCGTAATCCAGAACATACAGTTCATTAGCTTTATTTCCTTTTATTTCCTGTCCTATTAATCCCTTGGTCTACATCTTATTCTTATTAGAAGCAAGAACAACTCAACTCTGTTTTCTGATTCCTGCATGCTGTCTTTAGTTTCATTGCTGCCGCTTGACTCTTTTCTTTCAAAAGCTTATTGAGGTACCCCATACAGTTAAAAAAGATAGCATGAACTCTTCATCAACTCAGTTCGTGACTTCGGGAGGGATGGGGATGTATGATCATATGCACCAGCTTAGCATGTGGGGAGAAAGTTTCAAGAGTAATGGAAGTCCTCATCCACTGTCATCAATGCTTCTACCGAATACATCCCCGTCATTGATTATAACAGCAGATATGAAGCTAGACAATCAGGTTACTGTCACACAGGTTCTTTCAGTTTGCTGTTTGATTCTTCATCGATAGAGTCTGCATTCTGACGTATTATTCTCTTCTGCAAATTTTGCAGTCAGAAGATACTTCCGGGACCCCTGGACCGCTTAATAAGTACGACCAAGAAGTCACTAAATCGAGTGAGAAGGTAATGTAACAGGTTTAGCTTCTTTCTCTTGGTCCCATCTTTGGCATCATAGGCTACTGTCTACCAGTATTTTGTTCTACTTGGTTTTGGTCAGCTTGCATCTGTTGGCTTTCTTATAATACAAGTTAGCTCTCCCTTGGTTTGGAAACCCTGTCTTCTATATGATTGTGCTGGTTTGAGCAGTCAGGTTTATAAGGTCACTTCTTAATCTGTACAGATACAAAGGCGTCTTGCCCAAAACCGTGAGGCTGCTCGTAAAAGTCGTCTACGTAAAAAGGTAAAAAATGCGGATTGCATAAGAAGTTAATAACCCATCAATCTAGTACACATCATAAGATGTACAGAATGCTGATTCTATCTAATTTCCTTGTGTAGGCATATGTGAAACAACTAGAATCAAGTCGTTTGAAGTTGATGCAGTTGGAGCAGGAGCTTGACAGAGCCAGACAACAGGCATGTCTCAGACTATATTTATGCTGGGTTCTTCTTCTGATTTTCAGCTTACAGCCTTACCTCACCGCTTTCGTTTTGTAAATTGTTAATTCAACTGAATTAATCAATATTTTTTTTCAGGGTTTATATGTGGGCAGTGGAGTAGAAGCTAGTCATGTGGGGTTTAATGGAGCAGTAAACTCAGGTCAGATTCACTGCAATTGTTCATTTTTCATCTGTCGTGTCGAATGCAGATCTCGTAGTTGTTTGTTTGGTAAAGCGGTCCACTACATAATAATAAAATTACTCTCCTGGCTATCTGGTTCTCAAGTATAGCTCCCATATCTTACAGGAATCGCAACATTTGAGGCGGAGTACGGACATTGGCTAGAGGAGCAGCAGAAGCACGTCTCTGACCTTCGAGCCGCTGTAACTTCCAACATAAGCGATGGAGAAATGCGCGTACTTGTAGAAGCTAGCTTGAACCACTATTACGAACTCTTCCGCATGAAGGGAGCTGCAGCCAAGGCCGATGTGTTCTATGTCATGTCTGGCCTGTGGAAGTCTTCAGCAGAACGGTTTTTCCTCTGGATTGGAGGCTTTCGTCCGTCAGAACTTATTAAGGTTGTGACTGATGAATCAACCTTTTTCTGTGCATGTGCAATGCAATTTTTTTTAAGAGGGTATTAAAAGAGGGTTGCTTCACCTGGCAGATTTTAAGGCCAAAGATTGAGCCCTTGGCAGAACCACAACTTCAGGGTATCTGCAACCTAGGGCAATTATGCCAACAAGCGGAAGACGCCCTGTCGCAAGGGATGGACAGACTTCAGCAAACGCTAGCTCAGAGTGTAGCAGATGGTCAACTGGGAGAAGCAAGCTATTCGCCGCAGATTGATACTGCCATGGAGAAGTTGGATGGCGTAGTTCGTTTCGTTCGCCAGGTAACATTTCAGCATCTTCTGTTGAGCATTATGGTACAGAGGCTACAGTCTAGATTGGTCCATGTGTTTTTCAATCGTGTTATGTTACTGGGTTACTTGGTCTCTACACCTGCCTTATGCAAATGTTGTATCGAAAACCAGGCGGACCATCTGCGGAAAGCAGCCCTTGTGCAGGTGTCACAGATCCTGACACCGCGTCAGGCAGCTCGAGGTCTGCTGGTTTTGGGAGAATACTTTGAAAGGCTTAGGGCTCTAAGCCAAGTCTGGGCAACGAATACTCGGGAGCCGGAGTAGGGTTCTGATGCTTCCTCCGCAAGGCAAGACCTGGAGACGGGGATTTTCGCTATGTCAGATTGTTGTCTTTGTTGATAATGTTGTAGTTGAGAACATGTCGCTGTGGGGGGCATATATATATAATCTTTCTTAGCTTCTAGCTGCTGAGATTTTTGAAGCAGCCTCAAGATCCCTTTAATTGATAAAATTGTAAATATTATTTTACCAATTTTCAACTCCCTAGCAAGTTTGCATAAAGAGAGAGGATGGAATAAAGATCATTTCCAAGCGTGTGCAAGCAAGGAAGAGCTTTATTTGTTTGTACTAGTGAAAGTTTCTGTATATACAGATTGTTGTTAAAGCTAGAAAAACAATAATTTGTACTTTGTTGCTAGAGCTAGGATTATATGAGGATCTTGTGGGCAATATTGTTAGATTTGGTTTTGTTTGGGTGTTTTGGGGTCTGCAATTTGGTGCTTTCTAGTTTATACACTTTTAATGTTGTTAGATCATCTTAGTATATTCAATTAATCATTTCAAAATGTGATTCTTATTATTTGTTTTTGGTAATGGATGAATGAGATTTAGTATTAACAGTAATCGGCAACCACTGGCGGATCTAGGGTTGGGCCACCCCGGACCACGGTCCAGCTCTCCTCCGATCCAGAGTTAGTATAATACGTATAAATTTTTTGATTTTAGGTTTCGGCCCAGTGATATTTAAAAGTCGGTCCAATATTATTTGATAATGATTTTGTGTAACTTGCAAAATGGTCTTAATGAATATATCCAAATCACTATGTTAGATTTAGACTAAAAATTCTAGGCCCAATGATTTCATTTGAAAAGAATAAAATCAATGATGAAAGCTTAAAGTCTTACAAATAAAATACTAAAATTGTAAAGTTTCATTAATATAAAAAAACCACTAAACGAAATCTCACACTTCTCTGTCAGAACTCAAAAAATTCCCACAATCCCCAAAATACAAAATTAGAACGAGGAGACGAATGCACCCGAAACGGAATCCTCCGCTAGTTTGTCATGCACTAATTTCTTTTCAATCTTTTGATGAAGAAAATATTTACAAACTTGTTGAGTCATCATTTAAATTGCTTCAATTGAGTGGTGAACTAGATACTATAAATTCTTTCGGGTCTTTTGTTGAAAAAAATATTTACAAACTTGCTCAAGAGTTTATCCTCGAGACTTTGACGGCTATTAGATGCATTCTTTGAAGAATGATCTACGATAGTATGCCACTCATGTGGTTCATAGTCAGGAATCCCTTGCAAATTAATAAAGAAGCTAGTGGGAACGGAGATGGATACATAATATAAATTGATTAGTCAGTTGATTCGTTTAGTGTAGACCTAGCTCGTTTCAGCAGCTACTACGGAGAGAACATTTTCTGCAATGAACATGTGAAAACTTATTTACGCAACAAAATGACAGATGAATTTCTCGCCGATTGCTTAACTATTTTCTTTGAGATAGAGTATGTTATTGGTATGGATGAATGAATTTGCTAAATTAAAAGATCATCATGTACAATTGACATTGTATGATATCTAATTTTCTATTCAAATGCAGCCCAGTGCTCTATTGTGTCCTGGATCTGCCGCTGTTGGCAACATATACAAAAATGTGTATTCCATAACAAAAAGGATCCTTGCCCAGTTGACTTGTCCTATTAGCAGTTTTCAAGCTCAATAATTATCAAATCATCTACTTCCTTGATACTCTTCCAAATCCTTGTAGCCGATGAATTATCCATACATATCCCCTTGAACAATTGCTCAAAATAATGCCAATAGAAGTGGAGTAATACACCTTATTATTTCACTTAAATAAAATTTGGTGAATCGAGATATCTTGGCACTCCATGAACATTATAACTTTTATCAAAGTGACCATATTTTAGAAAGTCCATATCAGCCAGTAACCTTAAGTTATTCTTAGGCATTGTGTCTATATTTTCCCCCTTGTGTCTTTTCGTGGGCATGGCCAAATCGATACCCAAGTCGTTTCCAAATGAAACTCTTCCCTTCGAGATGCCTATCCCATGCAAAGCAGCGAATTTGAGCGTCTGGCAACGATGACGCTATTATTAGTGTTTTCAAGGTCTTGTATCTGATACATTTCTGTTAATGGCGATAGTATTTTATTTATTTCTTATTAAAAATAGAAGGAACTACATAGCAGCTAGCTACAACAACTAAAATGAGAGCCCATAAAAAGATCACGCAGGTAAATGCTGACTGCAACAGCACCCTCTATTCTACTCAGAAGAACTCAAGGAACCCAATACTCAAGTATACTTTTCTGCAAAATTTGCACCACAGTATAGACTACTAATTGTTGTTAGTATATTGGTACAGTGTTCAAAAGGTGCATCCAAGCACGTAAACGGTTATGGTGCTTAGATGCACCTTTTGAACACGTGCTTACAAGCGCCTTGTGCCATTGAATCAAGAGCAAATCACCAAATCACCTTTTGAGCACGTGCTTACAAGCACATTGTGTCATTGAATCAAGAACAAATGATCAACGGCTGTTAGATCGTGCTTCAATCAAGGATCATCCATGCTCGATCCAACGACTCCAAATGCATATGAGCATGTAAGCAGTATGCACACTTTTCTCGCCCATTGTCATATCCACTGATTTCTGCTTTTAGCCAGCAATTTCGCTATGGTACACACACAGATATCTGTGTGCACCAACTCATAGCCCAGGGGGAGGGCCACGTCGCCCAAGCCAGAAAAGGACGGCCAGGATTGAGCGGCTGGGACATGGGCTCGGGGAAGGGGACGAGCCGTTCTTCAGCTGTGGGGAAGCCGAGCTGAAGGTGGTGGTGGGGCCGACGAGTGAGAGATGGGCGGGGTCCGGGCCAATTTTTGGGTATTTTGGCGGGACTTTTGGCGAAAAAGCCAGCCCCAAAAAACCCTTTTCATAAATTCCACCCACCTACCAACCTCTCTCTATCAATCTCACAGCTCTCTTCTTCTTCTTCCTCATCTCTTCTCTTCGTTCGCCTTGCCGCCATTGAAGAGGAACATCGAGAGAAAAACGCAAGAAGGGGCGGTCTGGTGCAAGATCGGTCTTTCTAAGAGAAGAAGGAGATGCAAGAAAGAGAAGATAGTGTGTCGAAGATGGGGGATGATGTCGAAGGAGATTTCGCCCCAAAAGAGGAGGTCCACCTTGAAGATCTGTCGACTGAAAACAATAAAGGTTATGTCGAAGGAGACAGACTAGAAGATGAGGACCTTGCTGATACCATCCTCAAAGCGGATGGTTCATCTGATGGTTTGTGGGGCTCGCAAGAGTGGATGGCCGCAGTTGATGAAATAGAAGGAGGTATGTGAAGACCAAAAAAACATATCATATCCATTTAGACGTATATATGTTATGGTTGTTGATCATCATTGAATGTGTTAGGGTTTACATTTATGGTGCTTGCATTTATTATGTTTTAGGGTTTCTTGCATGGTGTTCTGTGCTTGCATGAATACTTGGTCGTTCTATCCTGAATATCCCTAGTGCAGGAACAAAATCATGAATATCGCTTGCATGAATACTAGTTAGCCCTAATGACCATATTACTTTTTAGATTTCATGAATATTACTTTCACGTCATCGAATATTAGTTGGTACATATTCATCTTAAATATGCATCTTCAAAGAATATTTAAGATGAATACGCTTCATCTTTATAAGAATATTCGTTCACCTTCTAATGAATACAAATTCATCTTCAAAAGAACATTCATTGACCTTTTAATGAATATGCATTCATCTTTTAAAGAATATTCGTTTACATTCTAATTAATACGCCTTCATCTTTAGAAGAATATTCTTTGACATTCTAATGTATATGACATTCTAAGGAATATTCGTTGACATTCTAAGGAATATTCCTTGACATTGTAAAGAATATTTGTTGACATTCTAACTAATATTCGTTGAGATTGTAATGAATATTCATTGAGATTGTAATGAATATTTGTTGAGATTGTCATGAATATTAGTTGAGATGAAATTGAATATTCGTTGAGATTGTAATGAATATTCTTTCAAATTGTCATGAATATTCGTTGAGAATGTAATGAATATTCTTTGAAATTGTAATGAATATTTGTTGAGATTGTCATGAATACTAGGTGATCTTGTAACGAATATTCTTTGACATTGTAATGAATATTTGTTGAGATTGTAATGAATACTAGGCGACCTTGTATTGAATGCTTTTATTGGTTGGATTTGACTAATTGTATTCATTTGTGCAATTCCAATGACAGGCTATGCAGCACTAGAAGATGAGTGCTTAAGGAAGAACTTGCAATTCAATACAGTAGATGATTGCAAGAGCTTCTATTCAAGATATGGTCATGACCGAGGTTTTGGTGTTCGAGTATACAACGAGTAGTGCACAGTTGGAGACGAGATTCTGCACCCGGGGCATAGGTAAGATACTTTTGAACCTCCGGGGCCGAGGAGTGCACAGTTGCCCTCGCTCCACTGTTTTTGTAAAAGACAGTGTTAGTGCTTAATGCGTGCAAGGCAGCAGCAACACAACTGGGTGTTAACGTATAGAATACCTAGCTTCTTCCATGATGATTTGGAATTGCGAATCACCATTTTTCAGCACTTTTAGGAGAGTTAGATGGATCATGCAACCTGTGACATCTGTCAGTTTACTAAACAGTCAGCCAATGAATACGTCCAAACGATAGTGCATGTTCAAAACAGTTAGATGGATCACGCAACCTGAGCATCATAAGGGATTTGCATGTTCAAATGGAACAGAAGCAAATGGGTTGCTGAGGAAGCCATTGCATGGGAATTGAATACGACTGCGATTCTCCTTGATGTGCATAAATGAGGAAAATTTGCTGAAAGACAATCGCACTAAAGCGGGCGCTGTGCACATCGCAGCCCTGGCGGGGATGACCTGTACTCCACATATTTTATAAAGACAATCTATCTTTATCTGCGGCCAAATGGAATCGATGTCATCTTCCTCAACGCATGCTTCAAGCAAATTTTCCTATGTAATAGGTGAAACCACGCAGTGAAAAGAAAGCGAAGGCAGGGTCGAGGTAAAGTTGTGGGTGCAAACGATGCATGAAACGATTTAGTTGGCAAACATACCTCTTTGTCTAGCCACAACATATGTAGTTTCACTTGCGCCATGTTTTGCCATCTTTATATTCCACCCATGTCTTAAGAAATCTAGCTATAAGTATTTCGTCGTACTAGCCGAGGTCAAGGAGACGAAATGGTGTGCATGCTACAATCGGATCTGTTGTACATGTGATAGGGAATATATTTAGTGTGAGAGCACGATCTGCCTGTTGAACAGACCTTCTTAATACCAAAATTAAAAGATGCAAGGAAGGAAAGTGTATATCCTTGGGGATCAGTTGGCAGTTTGTAGTCGCGGTCCATGGAACTCTAGGGGTTCACTGTACGTGCATGGGTTTCCCTATGGGGGAAGGGAGAAAGGGAAGAAAGGGTTTCGGGACGGTGGAAGGGAGAAAAGAGAAGAAAGGGTTTCGAGACGGTGGAAGGGATAAAAGAGAAGAAAGGGTTTGCAGCAACGACATCTATGGGTTTCGTGATGGGGGGAGGGAGAAAGGGAACTGCAGACGCGTGTGGGTTTCGTAATGGGCCGCCAGTGTAGATGGTCCTCTCTCATT